ACAAGGCTATGGGAGAAATCAAGGATGGGACAAATGGAGCTCAACAGTGAACACACACCATGGGAAGCCTGGAGCACTCTGTAAGGGGACTCTAGGCCCCTCCATGAAGGTATCTTCTAGTTCAGTGGATCAATCTGAATTCATGAAGCCAGGAAGAAAGAATGAATGAAAGAAAGAAAGAAAGAGAGAGAGAGAAAAAAAGAGAGAGAGAAAAAGAGACAAAAAGAGAGAAAGGAAGAAAGTAATTACTACACTGATGATTTTTAATATAGGGAAAATAAAATTTCCAGGATTTTTTAGCATGAACAATTTACCTTTTACGTGCCAGGCAACAAATAAAACAGTCTACACTGTGTTCCATAAATTAAAGGATGGACATACAATCCTGTCACCAAAGAATTCAGTCTGCCAGGAAAGACTGATCCATAAAACAGTGAGGCAAGGGGTGCTAAGATCAGTAGGGGGTAGAACGCAAATACTGTGGGAACATGAGAGGGGAGGCATTTTTCTCCATAAGGTTCAGTGAGATAATCATAGAAATTACAGAAAAGTGACACTTGAACTGAATTTAAGAAGTACAACTAGCACACAGCGCTCAGATGGGAAGGGCAGAGGGAGTGAAATGAGTACAGCACAGCGCAGGCAGTGATGAGCAGGGCCCCGGAAGTGGTTAAAGGGCGTGACGTGAGGCGGGCACCACGAGAAGGAAGTAAGATTCAGTGGGAATATTGAGGGCCAGGTTTGTCAAGCGCCCTCAAGTCCACTTCAGAGCTTGGCTATTGCTCACTAGGCAACAGGAGAAGAATTTTAGGTAAAGAAACGATCGGAATTTTGCTTGGAATGATTCTTCAGGCGGATGCTGGATGGAGAGGAGATTGGATGGAGATGACAAAGACTGCCGACCAGAAGGCTAGTGACAGAGAAGGTCCACCTCATTCACTGTACCACAGGCGGAAACTATAGCTGGACAGACAAAAGGATGGCTGCAGGCGGTGAGGCTTCTTTTCAGACTCAAAAGCAATGAATCAGGTCCCATACTTAATGCTTCCAGGGAAATGGCTATAAAATGTGTAGTAAAAAGAAAGATAAATAATATTCCTAAAATTTAATTAATTTCTCTCTTTCATTTTGCCTGGTTTAATGCCATGCTATACCCCTGATGTGAACAATCTAGACATTGTTCCATTACTGTATTTCAGTTTTATATCACGCCTCACAATTTACTGGTTTTATTTAGGATAATGCACTTGTATTTGACATATTTACATCATTCCCATTTATTATTAAAAGCAATGTTAGGTTTAGGTATTGAGGATCAATAAGACCTCCACAATGTTTACACTATCATAGATTTTACAGCAAGTGCAGAGTGTTTCAGGTTTGTTTTTATAGGTGGTTTTTAAAAGGCAATTTTATAGCCTCTACTCTGTTCTTGGGTAAAAGATGGGTTGGCAAAAATTCTTTGACTATGTTTGCAGAAGTCTTAATGGGGCCACACAGTACATGGAAGAAATTTTGAGTAACTATTTAGAGTGGATGTTCTCATCATTTTTGTTGCATTTCCCTAACGTACACTAATTGTCACACAGAAATATTTACATAAGCTTTTTTGTTTGTCTTGTTTCCTTCCTCTCTTCCTCCCTCCCTTCCTTCCTTCCTCCTTCCCTCTCTTCCTTCCTTCCTTTCTTCCTTCCTTCCTTCCTTCTTTCCTTCCTTCTTTTTTCTTTTTCTGGCAGTAGCAATTACTTTGCCATTAATATTTATCTGTTGTACCAAGTGTATAATTGTAATCATTACAACAAACAAAACCTGAGGAGATACAATCAGTATGGAATTTTCCTCTGTGACTCACCATTCCTTTAAAACTTACTTAGAGTGAAGTTCTATTATTCCCAGTTTGGAAGATAAATGTGTTATGACTTTTTCTGATTCTTAGTTTTAAACATCTGTTTAAAAAGGACACCATAGGGTTGGCATGTAGCTCAGTGACAGAACACTTACATGGCATATCTGAGAACATGGATTTGATTCCTAGCATCACAAAATACATTTAAAAATAAAAATGAATAAATAAGGTATGAGAGATTTCAATTTAGATCATTTCACATGCAATTGGTGTATTTGCATGTTAGAAAAACCAAAACCAAACAGCAACTATTTCACATGGTTCCATCTAATTTAAAGTTAGCAAAATATCAAAGTTAATTTATAACCAAGACTTCTTTCTTGTTCCTGCTAAAGTATTCAGGAGGTAAGAAATTAGTTGAGAAATGGGCAAAATAGGGTTCTTCTTTATTTGTTTTGCTACACCCCCCCTCCTCTGTTAGCCCTTCCTCCTCTTCCTCTTTCTCTTCTTCTTCCTTTTCCTCTCCCCTTCCCCTTCCCCTTCCCCTTCCCCTTCTCCTAACTACAGATTGCTAGCTATAACTTCTGACCTCTCCAGGCACAGGGGTAAGGGCTATAAGTAAGGGTATAGAAACTCTTACTGCACTGGTACTCTCTTAAAGTGCACCAGACTCTGATACAAACATTTTTTTTCAGAGAATAGGAGAACCTCCTTCACTGGGACATTCTGGCTCCATCTTGCCCCGAGTGGGTGTATTTCACCACCCCATCCTTAGGATTTACATATGTCTTCTGATTTTTTCTTCATATTCTCCAGATTCTGCACATCCCTTCACTTCTGGGAGACTCTGTGGACAGGACCTGACACGGCCACATGCTGCTCTGAGTTGCAGTGGCTCATGCTGACCTATGCCAAGCATACACATTGTTTTCTGACATTCTGATACGATAGGCTGATAGCAGCACAGAAACCTCTTGTTTCACTTGTCTGTCAACAGCAAGATGCTGCTCTTGTGCCTTTTGTGTATTTCAGGCTGGGGTCAGGCACTAGGCTACTACGGGTCCCAACTCTATAGATAAAATCTCTGACAGCATAGAAGCCATACTCAGTAGGAGTTCTCTCCATGGAAACACTCATCACAGATACTATTGATTCCATCCTTAATATTACAGGCATTTAAATCAGAATAAATTAATACACAGTCAAAGAGGGACTGGGCTTTCCAGGAAGTTGGTGAAGGGTAGAGATATCAGAATTGTGGTTGTAGGGGCACCTGAGGATGACCAGGCTTCAAAATGCAGGTGCAATGGCCAGGCCTATGTGCATAAGCAGTAACTTGGAATTATACTGTAATTAGCAGGTTCCTTTGGTGAAGTTTGAAGATATTACCAATGATGATGTGTACAATACTGTGTTATGAACTGTTCTGCTCTGCTCTGATTTCTAGACCTGACTCACTGTGACTTCACTCTTCTGCTTCAGGGTAAGTTCAGCTCCCTCCACCCACTGCTAGCATCTGACCTTCAAGGACTGCCTTCATTCCTCTGAATAGAGTCATCATTCCTTCTGGGAAAGGGGTACAAATTCATAAAACTGAGCCTAGCAGGCTATAGTTCCTCTAGTGAACACAAACGTGGAGAATAGTTCTTCTTAGAACTCTTAGTAAGGTGAAGTAATTATAGCTCTAATAGTAAAACACATGGAAATTGCAGCAGAGTGTTTTGAACACATAAGCAATCGACAAGAGTGAGAAAGGGTTGGGATACAGGGGAAAAGGAAAAGGGAAACAGTTCTTCAGAAAGAGCAAAAAGGGGTCCAGGGGGAACATTTGCCAAAAGGAAGAGCAAGTCAAAATTCTAGAGTGGTCTTTTAGGATGCAAGGTGAGGTGTGGCAAGAAGAGATACAATATGCTCTCTAAACTTCTACTGATTTGTTCGAAAAGGTCAACTGCAGTTAAGAAGTTGCATCTAGGAAAATTTGCAATTTGTGATATGTAAAAATCAATTTTCTTTTAAAGATTTTACACTGATTTTAAGAAGTTCTCTATTGTTCAGTGGGATACCTGTAACCATTCCCCGGAACTAGCTCTCCATAGAGTCCTAGTCAGCCTTGGAACAGAGCAAATGATATTCTCTTCTGAGGTTTGAGTTTTAATTTGAAATCTTCCACTATCATCCTTTTGGGAACTATTAGCATTCATACATGTATGCTCTTTATACAGATGGTAAGAGAGGGAGAGTCTGTACACAGATGCACACACACTCATACATGTCTATGTGTGTGTACTATGTCCCAATTTTAATGTGGGTGTGGGAAATACTGGTATAGTCAGACTAATTTTTTGGTGCCTCAGAATTTCTCCCAGAATAGTGTCAGACAGGAAAGGGTCATCCACAAACCACAAAACAAACTTTTAGATCCTGAAATTAGTGCTAATTTCCTGCATTCCAGGCACTGAGCTCACTGATATTTTATCTGCTTGGTATGGAACATGTCTTTTCTGTATTTTAAAATATATAAGAGCAGATAAGTTTGATATACCTGAAATCAATTGAACACAAAACCAGTTTTTAAAGTGGAAGAATTGTGTGATAAATTCCATTTCATTTACAAGCAAGAAAAGAGATTTAGAAACGGATACTCAGGGAAAAAAACAACAGCAAAAACTATTTGACTTCTAGCTAAAGCCTAGAGCATTACTTTTCATTTAAGGACAAAACTGTTAATATAGGATAAAATAGACTGTAAGTATATGCAGTGGTTAATTAATAATTTGTTTATACAGTATGAGAAGGGAGATTATGATGGCATGAGATCTTTAAGACTTCAGATTTATTTCTACAAACTCCGAAACTCTGCTTTGATGTTACCAAAGGTAGTCATACTTATTTCATAATTAAGAATTAAATTACAAACTTACATAAATATGGGATATTTTCTAAGAAGATTGAAAACGGCAGCCATCTTATTTTCTATTTAGAAAATAATGTGTTTTTAAGTAATATACCTTTTATTAAAATAAAAATAGGAATAAAGAACATAAATTCATCCTTAATTTTAGTGTGTGCGATCATTTTTAGAATATTTTGATTTATTAGAATTCTGTGCATATGTATCCTTAGAAATCATCAATGAAAACACAGAGTCACATACCTGTGTCTGTTTAGGACCAATATCCATTTTCTCCAGAAGGTCATTTAAAAAATCTGTAACACTAACCCAGGGATAAATACTGTTGGACCCATCCAGCACTATGACTATATCCAACTGAGTGTTGCAGTCTGCAGGAAAAGGAGGCAGGTGTGAAAATTTGGAATCTATCTTTTTAGAGATATACAAAATGTTTTCATAGCTGAAAGTTCATTTTAAAAGATGAATTGGTGTCTACAGAGTGGACATATTGCTTTCAATTGTTTCATCAAAAGCAAAGGACATTAGAAATGCATATTGTATTCAATTAGAATTGCTTTGGAGTTTGTACCAAGTAAAACCCATGTCTAATTCATTTTAATTAGTATTGCAGAAAAATTATATTTGGGAACTTTAAGATGAATTTGATATCACATTCTCATTCTGGCTTATTTATAATGAAGTTAAGTTCTTCAAAGGGACTTACCCTTTAAAGACAAGCAGTGTGACAGCTGTAGATATGAAGTTTAAATACAATGCTATAAAAGTAATTTATACTAGTATCAATTCCAAAAATACCAGTGAAGTTTGGTTATATACTGGCAAAGCAAACATTTACCTAAATTGGTAACACTGGTAGCTGACAAAATACTTGAAGCTTTGTGGTATGCTCTTATGTATACATATGTCTCATTCATTGCTTATGCTTTTCAAACAAGCAAAAACATTGCATAAAGTCTGTACCTTGTATAGGGGCAAAGGAGTTCACGACTTGAAACGTGGGGCTGACATCAGAGCAGATTCCAGTTGTGTAATGCAGATGTCCACATCTATAGGCATATAAGGGTCCACATGCCTTTTAAAGAATTTAAAAAATTAAAGACTATAAGACTAAACATTACATAACAAATTTTTAATAGTTTGTAATGAGAGTATTCCTGGTAGGAAATATTATTACTCTTTCCTTTCTTACCAGAAACCCTCCTTTTGGGTTGGTGACTAAAGTTGATCCAAACGTCATGTTCTCTTTTATTTCTGTGACATTGGGAATTGATGTATTAACTACAAGAGAGAACAAAATTTTATGAGGATGGAAGTAAGTTCCACAAAGTGAAATTAAGTGTCTTCTATTAAAACATTCTGTTTGCTTTGTTAATATCATAGCACATTCTTCTCTTGTCTCAGCCTACTAGACTTTCAAGTACTGTTAAGGAATATACTGAACTATCTAATGCTGAAGGGCTGGCTTTTGTCCCAGAAACAGTCTGTATCACTGTTCCAAATAGTTTTGTTGAACTGTGAAAGAATACAGAACCAGCGGGGCAATGGGAATATGGGATTGCCTCTCATGCACTTTGATAACTAAAACAAAATATTTAGCTTCAAAATATTGTAAATATAATGTTATCTTACATTATTTGCTATAAACAACCAACGATGTAATATGATTTTGGCAAGAAAAAGGAAAAATGCATAGAAGACTAGAAAAGAAAACATTGAAACACAAGTTATTGACCAAGATATCCAAAATCATGAGGAAGGAAGGAAGGAAGGAAGGAAGGAAGGAAGGAAGGAAGGAAGGAAGGAAGGAAAGGAGGGAGGGAGGGAGGGAAGGGAGAAACAAAAGCTTCTGCACCTTGCATAAAGGAAGGCATAAGAATTTGAAAGCAGCAAAATTCAAGTTCAAGAAAGAGTTGCCTCACTATTTGAGCTTAGAAGTTGTTCTTACTTTAACACTATCTATAGGCTTAAGGTAGACAGTGGAAGAAGGGCTTCCTGAATGATCGGGTTGACCTCCTAATCTGAGCATTGACCTTTGCCCAAGACAGTCTGATTTTCTTTGAAAGCAGCTGGGATTGAACTATTATATATTAGTTTTTTAAAAACCTGGATTAGAATTGTTTTACATAAGGTTGACTTGGGATCAACACTTCAGGGATAAGCAGGGGTTATCTCACACAGTTTCTTACGATTCCTGATGTAGACCGAAATCTAGGTTAATTTAAAAACTCTGTTCCAGTTCCCAGCAATGGAAGAGTAGCTCCTAAGAAAACAATTATTTTGCAAGTAACCATAAATTCTAGGAAAAGGGAAGAAAATATGTATGAAGCAACCATCTAAAGGCATGGAAAGCAACCCAAAACAGGCAAAAGCTAGAGAAGACTGTATACTTGGAAAAAGAGATTTGCACTGGGTGAGTCTTTGTGTTTCACTTTGCTTTGCTCTTTGTTTTCATTTTTGTTTCCCTAGTCAATAATAAAATGCAAACAGGATTCCCAGTCTTACTCTCTTGTAGAAAAAGGGGGTCAGAGTTGGAGAACAATGAAATCATCTGCAAAGTGATATTACAGGAAAAAGAATCACAAAAGGACATTTCTAATATATGCATCATTTTCTGTCCAAATAGCTGGAGGACTCAACGGTCAATGTGCAGAGCAGACTTTCATCAGAAATAAGAACTGACTAGAGATTTTTAGCTGCTTTATACTGTAAGAAAGTCAGAAGTTGTATAGAAACAGCAAGCCAAACAAACTGCCTATAAATATAGAAAAGACTATTCTAAGGCATATAACAACCTAGAATTTCCACATTTGTAAATCAAAAATATAATCCATGCTATGACCTAAAAATACCACATATAAGAAGAAATAAGAAAATGTGACACAACTTTAAGGCAAGGTAATAAAAGGAAAGTGATGAGATTTTCAAGATATTGGAATTATCATGAAATGTTATTAAAATAAGTACTCTAACTAGGCCCATGAATGTGAAGGAAAAATGTTCATAATGAACAAAGAAAATATTGCATAGTTTCTCTAATATGAAAGACCTAAATATAAATAATTTAAAGAGCAAAATAAAAGAGAGATGGTAGGAAATAGGAGGTAGATTCTAGGGATGGGAAGGGGATCAAAAGAAGGGAAAGGGAGCATGAATGGGGTACAATAATCAGGGTGTGGTATGTATGTGTAGCAATTCTCCAAGATGAACAGAATTATCATGTACCCCAAACATATACTAAGAAACATGAACAAACTAATAGGAAATTGAAAAAAGGAGAACTAAAAATATATTTGCAATAGATTTGTGGGTCTATAAATCATTTCTATGACCTTTGATATGATACAGAATACTGACAGAGATCTAATTCCTGGATAAAGAAATTTTTCATTCATGTTCCAACTACAGTGACATTTATATCAAACATGTCTTCTTCAATATAAATGTATCATGCTACTCTTTTCTAAATTATAATTCCTCTTATTCTATTTTTCTTATTTCTATGCTTCTTAGAATCAGGCATGCAAGGCATGGTGGAACATGCCCATAATCCCAGCACTCGGGAGGCTGAGGCAGGAGGATCCTTGTGAGTTCGAGACCAGCCTGAGCTACAAGGTGAGCTCAAGTTCAGCCTGAACTGCATAATGAAACCCTGTCTCAAAAAAAAGAAAAAAAAGAATCAAGCACTAAAATTCCGTGCAAGGAATGTAATGAACAGGTTACTGGAAAAAGTTCTCTCATGTTACATTAGTGTACAAATGAGCCCAAACAATGGGGGAAGGTAAACGTTATAAAAGCAGGGCAGAGGGAATCAAATGTCTCTCTATAGAATTTGGATAACAGCTAAAGAAAGTTTATAGATCCCTTCTAATATTTCCTTGAATCACTTGCAAGTGTTTTTGGTGAGAATAGGTGAGATTTAAGGTGAGACTAGCTTTTGCATTTTACATACCTGGTAGATCCAGCTTCATGCAAGGTAAAGATTCACCTCTCCCAACTGGACACTTATAGACATCGCCAGTTCTGGTTTTGGGTTGACCAACTAAAGGAGAACCAATAAGGACCCTGAAATTTAAACGAGACAATTAAAATGTCATAATAATGAGAAACACTTCTAGTTATTTTAGGACTAATTCTATAACAGACAGTACTGACCATAGACAAAATTAATCATCTTATTAGTAATTTAATGTTACTTAAAATAAGTGCAGTGTCTTCTCAAAATTGCACATTGATTTCAATTTTAAAAATTAGTATGAGAGAAATTGCATATATATTGCTGTATTATTTTTACCTATTACTTTATCAGATTTTTATTTAGGTATGGAAATAATTAAGAATTATTGAATAACTCTGCCACTCTGTTGTTTTAAAAATACACAGAAATCTAAATGACTTTTTCTCATGATAAAGTGGTAATTTCTTTTTCTAATTTTTATTTTTATTGGTACATGTTTGTACATAATGATTACATTCATTGTGGGGAGCTGGTACATGTACATAAAATATCTTAATTCTTCTTTCCATTCTTCCATCTCTTAGTTCCTTCCCCTTTTGAAAAAGATCTGTCCCTCTGTTTACTATTATCTATCTAGGGCTGGAGATACAGCTCAGCAGCACAGCGCCTGCCTGGCAAGTGCAAGGTTCTGAGGTCGATTCCCAGTACCAAAAAAAAAAAGTTTAAAAAAAAACTATTATCTATCTTTTCTCTTCCTGTTTAATTTATTCATATTTAAAACAGTATGGAGATCCCTTAAGAAACTAAAACTAGAAATTCCATTCCACTCACCTACTCCCCTTTTAGGTATCTTCCTAAAAGAGTTAAAAACATCATATTACAGTAATACATGCATTCCTATGTTTACAGCAGCACAACTCATTATAACTAAACCTTGGAAGCAACTTATGTCCATCAGCAGATGAATGGATAAAGAAAATGTGATATTTATGTATAATAGACCCTTCTTTTATTTTTAAAATAAATTATATATATATATATGCGTACTACTCTGCCATAAAAGAGGATGAATTTCAGTCATTCATAGGAAAATGGATGCACCTTGAGACTATAATGCGAAGTGAAATGAATCAGACAAACAAGCTTCAAATATCTCAAGATTTCTTTTATAGGAGAAACTACAAAAAAGAGAAATAGTTAATTTCATAGAGAAGTCAGAAAATAAGAGACATGGAGTCATCGTAAGTTTAATATTAGTATGTGGTATTTACTAAGCACTTGAAAAATAAGAATAATTATGAGATACAGATTAAAATTACTTACTGCCATTTTAGATATAGTTAAAAATCACTCCAATAGTAATTAGTGGAAAAATTAATCATTACTCATTTTAGTTCCAAGAAGTGCTTTAACATTCTGCATGACATTCTCAGGCATAGAAAGGATAAATGTGATTGAATATGAAGTCCCTTGGTGGATCAACAGTTGCTGATGCATTGCTGGCTAAATATTCATGTTGAAAAGCCAATTTCTTACACCAATAAATCTCATCATAGACCATAAGGCTCTGTATTTCTGATTATCTTAGATGATATCTTCATCAATAACTTGAGTGAAGACACAAAAAAATATTTAACAAGCACATATATACATATACCAGGGAATTTACCTCCACATTCTAGAAGAATAAACAGGAATAAACTAACATTTAATTAGAACTTATATAAGTTACTTAGCTTAACTGCTTACTATTGTCTACATTAGTATAGGATGTCAGAAACCTCATTTAATGGGAATCCATGTGAAAATGTCATGGGACTTTTAGTGGACAGCACATAAACATGAGCCAATACTGTATTTTAGTGCCAAAAATGCTAATATGACCTTAGGCTGCATTGCTAGAAATAGATGCCCTGGTCAAGGAAAGCGATAGTCCCTCTGTGTCTGCACTGGTCAGGCCATGTCTGGAATCTTCAAATTAAGAGGGACAGAGGCACAGTGGAATGTATTTAGGAGACGGTGACTCAGATGACTAGGAGCCTGGCAGTTTAGTCAAATGAGAGTTGCTGAAGGGAAAGCTGGAGATAGTGAGCACGGAGAAAGAATGTATGAGAAGAATGAGAGGTGTACAGGGTATATCAGGCACAGGTTATAAAAAGTCAACCAACTGAAGTCTGCCGCATTGAAAAGCAATAGGACTCATTTTGCATAGGTCCTTCAGACATTCTAATATTAATAGCAATATGTTTTATAACAACTGTAAAACTTGAATTATTGAATATACTCTCTAAAGCATACATTTTGATGTTTTTGCAAAAACAATTTCTTATTCCTGTGAAGAACTATAAAAATGTTAAAAGCCTTTAAGACATAATTCTTTTTTTCTGAGAATCTACCATTTTAAAATGACCTAAAATAAGCACGCAAAGCTTATTGCATAAAGGTAATGCTAATACAAGATTAAAAGAAATATGGTCAACAGCAAAAACTAAGTATTGCACTGTCATTCTGTAAAATGTTGTTCTATCATAAAAAACAGTAGTTAAGCTCATGTGGTAGGAAGAAAAATGATATATGGCCTAACTTAAAGTGAAAATCTACCTAATTTAGTGAAAATCTGTGATGTAAAGTGAAGTATCAAATTATTATATTCATTATAAGAGCAAAGATAATATCTAGCACTTATCAAATTTATATCATGTGCCAGACTGTTCTGAGTACCTTCCATATACTCAGAAATTTAATACTCACTATAAAAGGTAGCATGAACTTTGCTTTGTGAGCTGAAATTGTGGCTGTACAATTTACTAGTTGTATGGTTTAGGAGAAGTCAATTACCCTGTTTGTGCTTTAGTTTGTTCATCAATAAAATAGAAACGCTGAGAGTACATATCTCACAGGATCATCAGGAAAATTACAGTTAATATAAATAAAAACAGACTGGTACTTGACTCATAGGATCTGCACCTAAATATTAATTCTTTTTATTATTGCTATATTTTAATTTCAGGTTATTAAACAACCAACATCTGTACAAAACAATGATTAGAAGGGAATGCATCAAAAATATAACAAACTTGCTAATAACCTTTGTTACGAATTCAGTAGATTGCTTAAAGCAGGACATCAATTACATGATAAAAGATGCTTGAAATGCTTTTGTTATTTCAGGCAAATCATATTAAATCAAACTATCAAACTATAAAAAAAACAAAGTAAGGAGATTAGATTAGATTTTTTAGTATTTTAAAATTTTTATGCAATATGATTGAATGCTAGTTTTATAGTTAAAACAGAGAAAAGAAATGACTGCACTAACGTATCATTGAAAGTACTTAACTTGAAGCTAGATAAATAAATTAATGTTCAGTAGGAACATTCTACAAGTTGAACATCTACGCCAGATCACAGGCATAGAAAGTGGGTGAACACATTCTTTAGGCTGCTTAAAGAGGAGGCAAAATTATAAGGTTTGCATTGCAACATGGAAAAAGTCTGGTACGAATCCAACAGTCTCAGGAACAAGAAAAAATCTCATTCCATTGATAAATGCACAAAGTTCAGTATGGCTGTGATAGAAGGTAAGGCTGCAGAGTAAACCTCTTAAATCATACACGTTCTTGTAGTTCACTTTAAGAACTTTGGAATGATTATATGAAGGGGAAAATTAGGAACCATGAAAGCTCTTAAAGACCAGTGACATGAGTGACTCTTTAATTTTAAAGCTTATTTGAAGCATCACAAATAAATTGGAGAAGGGCAAAATTAAAGTTACAAGGTCAAGGTAAAGTAATTTCCTAAAGTAATCTGGATTTCCTAAAGTAATCCAGATGAAGATCTGAATTAAGGAAGTAGAAAGGAAAGATGAACCAATTTTATTAATATTTAGGATATAAACTGTCTTAATCTGGTTTTCTCCAAAAGTAAACCTGACACAAATATTACGTAAAAATAGACTTTTTTTGGAGGCAATTCCATGTATGCACAAGTATGGGGATGGGAAAAATACAGAGGACAGGATGAAAGGCCAATAAATAATGGATTGCTTTTGTAAGCAAAAGGGCGCAGTCTTGATGGAGAACATCTCAGAAACCATGTGAACATGACATGAGCATGCTAGAAGCCCTAAGAGTAAATAGCACCACTTTGAAAGAGCACAGATTAAAAAAGCTAAAAGCAAAGCTGATTTCTGGGTAAAATAACACTTAGGTTTTCAGTAAGTAAAGGAGGAAAATTAAGTGGGAGATATCAGAGAGGGAGCAGAATCAGGAGACAGGAGTATCACAGAAGCCAAAAAAGGAAAGAAGACCCAGCATGGGAAGAGACCCATGAATTTGCAGCAGACTTCACTGAAGCAAACTGGCTAAAATGAGGGTGGTGGGATTCTGCTCATGAAAGAGGATTTATTTCAGGGCACTGGCAAACCATTAAGTGTACAAGGCAAATTTAAGTTTATTATAGAGGTACTCTCCATCTAAGTAATGGTGAGAAAGAACCAGACAGAAGAAGAAAGCTTATGTCATGGGAGAGGAAGTAGAGTCCCTGAGCAGCCAGGTAGAAAGAGTGGATCCAGAATCTGTCTTAAAAAAGAAAAAGGGCACGGTTCCTTAAGCACTGCTTTATGGTCTAGTATCAAGAGGTTTGTATAAGGTATAATTGGAAAATGTGATGAACGTTTAAAAAATAGTTATAGTGAAAGACACATTGTGATTAATCCCCCCTCAAAATATTTCCCCTCACTTTGGGCATACTTATTCTCACCATTCTTGCCACTTTCTGAAGCAGTTCTAGAAGTCTACTTTCAAGTCTTTATTTGTTCTGTCTTGAGGAAATTCAAAACATTTACCTTTCATAGTTACTTTGACTTTGGGTAAGCGCCGAGAACTAACACAATGCCAAGTGTAGCGAATGGGGTGAACGAGGCCACTCTGCAATGTTTGATGAGCCTGTCTTTCTGCTGGACAACACTCAGCAGCACCATTCACTGCATAAAGGCACTCAAAAAGGAGACGTCCAGCGCTGCTTCAGACAGTGGCAAGAACAATGCGATAAGTGTGTTCAAGGTAGGAGGAGTATTTTAAGAGGAATTAATTGCAATGTGTCCTTT